GTTTCTGTTTCTGCCTTTGTGAAGCGCTATGAGATGACTTGTTGTTGTAAATATGCGCTATACAAATAAAATTGAATTGAATTGAATTGAATAAACTATTTGAGCTGAAAAATAAATTGTTGCGCTGCTTAATTTGTCTTCATCTAAGATCAATTAGTTTAAAAGATTTTCCGGAAGCTTCCAGAGGTGTCGAGTGGCAGACGGACACTTCTGATTTGCATAAAGTAGCCAAGAACTTAACTTTACGCTAGTAAATACTGGGGAACACTCCCAGAATGCATTGCAAGGCCACTTACATAGACAATGAATAGGAATATGTGAAGTTAAAGATGCAGTAGTACCATACAACAACAACCAAGTACTACAGCTAACAAGAAATCATTTTCACTGACTTATTTACAAAAAAATAAATACTTAAAGTGTGCATTATCAAGGAAAATAATAGCATATTTTAAGATACTAAATATTAAATGACTTGATTAAAATGTGGCCAGAAAATCGGACATCGCGACAGAGAATGATTGGCTAACTTGTAACAATGTAGAAGCTGTTATGTTTTCAAAGCTTCAAGCAGCTGCAAACACATCTATAATCCTATTTTGTTAGATAAAATACTTGTTTAAAGTTCTTAATATTAATACAAATAATAAAGGAAGTGCCACATGCAGCCTTGTTTGCTGCAAAAGTCACCTAAAACTTTGGCAGGACTGTGTGAGTCAAGCTCACCTGGACTCAAGGTGTTCATCTGCAGAAACACCCAACAGAAATGCAGAGCAATGATGTTTGTGTTTATGTGATGAAATGTAACACGTGAACTTCACATGTAGCAACAACAAGCAACAACCCTCATCCTCCTCCAGTGTGTCTGCAGGTCATGTTTAATTCAGATTGTGATTTCAAAACGACTAAATCACACCCTAACCCTGGTGTGTGTGCAGATGTGACAGAATGACAGAAAAACATATTCACCGGTAAATGGACATAGATGAACAGAGCAAGACAGAAAACACAGAACAAGATAAACAGGTAGAGAGAAAGAAGAGCTAATAAAAACAGTTCAACTTCATTGGCTTCTGTAAGACTTGTAGCTTCATATTTGTGGCACCACTTTATAAACATGCTGCTGCTCTCTTGTTAAGCTAAAATTAATCACTTTTTCCACACACAGCAAAAGAATAGATAAAAGATAAAGATAAAGAGACGACCATTTTTGATGTGGACATTATTTACCATGTTGGCCATTTTTTTTTGTTTTGTTTTGTTTTTTCTGGTCAGCATGTAAATTTATACTGTTTTTGAAATTTTTACTACATATGTTCTGTTATTCAACAAAACAGGGGAAATCTAAAAAAAACTGCTTAAAAAAATTCTTAATGATTGACAACTTTTCAGTTTTTAAAATACATAAAAAAAAAACATATTTGTAAAATAAAAACATTTCTCACTGATTAGAATAAAGTAATAATAGTCATTTTTAAAAACTGTAAAAGAAGGAAATACTATTTGTAAAAACACAAATTTTAGATGTGCATGTTATTTATAGCTGTGGCTTGTTTTTACGACAAATGTAAATTAATTCTCGGAATGTAGTAGATATCTGCAAATTCTTTTAAAAAATAAGGTCAAAAATTGTACAAAAATATGGTTTACAGTGCTATCAGTTTATGATTTAAAAACAGTGACTGGTCTGTGAGGGACTTTGGGGTATGAAAACAAACCTGTAGGATGTCTGATAATGTATTTAATGTACATAAAGGGTGGAATGAGCCTGCAGTGTTGGATATTTGTGGAGGTTTATAGACTGTTTTTGTGGACGAGCTCCTTTAAGGCCAGTAAAGTCAACAGTCTGGAAGAAGGTTGGACAGATCAGAACAGAGCAGAAAACAACGGGTCCTACCTTCATAGGTGAGATGTGAGCGTGGGTGACGTATCCGTGAACATTCTCAATCTGGGAAAGGTTCTTTTCTGCTACCTGGACCAGCTCCGGACCTCCAGCCTCCTCCGTCAGCTGGGGGGAGCTCTGGTCCTGGGGGGACGAGTCCTCATCATGGTGCCTGTACTTCTGCAACGGAAAACACACAAAACAGAGGAACACAGTCAGAAACATGGTTAACATTTGTGCCCCAAACACTTTCTGACAGGTGGAGGTCACCTGAATCCACCTGGTTTCACCTTTGTAGATTTAAATTTGAATTATGTCCTTAATCATCAGCGTTATCGATCAACACTGGGTCATTACGACTCAAATCATCAAACTTTAAGAAGATTTCTGCTCAACCAGCTCTAATTTGACCTAAGGCTTTATAGCATAAAGTATGGACATTTATAAAGATACTTGGAAAACTTTTGCTTTTTAAAAAATTTCATTTTTACTATTATTGTTTTTTAATTGCCCATTGACCCACTTACAGCACATTCTTTCGCACATTTAAATGTGAGGCTGTCTGAGGGACGATATCTCAGAACTACTGAAAGATAAAAGCCTAAAATTTTTTATTTTTTTTGTATTTCTCATCATGTCAATTGAGAATCTGTAGCATTGAACAAATAGATCAAATAATCTCTGAGTATGGGTGAGAAGAAATATGCCAAAATAATGGTGCCATCAGCCTTTAGAGTAGATTTAATAACATCAGTGTCACTAACTCATTGTTATAAAGCTGTAAGTCACCCTTGAATTTGTTGTTTGGATTGGGAAAAATGTAAATTTTTGCTACCCAGGTTGATAATCCTCACAGGTACAGAGCCGTCACTGCATTTGTGCTTTTACAAGTGAAAATTAAATTTAAAAAAAAAACACAGCAAAGGGCTGAAGTGGTTAAAGGATAATTCTTCAAATGACTCACAGTCGGAGCACTTCAGGTTAAAACTCTCCTGACTGAATCATCTGGTAAACAAGATGCAGCATAAAATATCTGTTTCTTAGATACAAAGAATGAGTCCAAGCTTTGCAAAGTCCGTGGACGTGAAAACCAAAGCAGAGAATTTAGCTACATTTCCCAGGATTCAGTTCACCAACAAAATATCCATCACAGACATTCAGTTCATGTTAAGAAAATTCCAAGTAATTGAACTGGAATCCTCCTTTAAAGTGAAACAGAAGAAAAAAAACAGCAGTGAGCTGGTATTTTGTCTTCAGCCTTTACATCTTGATGAGTCAGAGTTTCGAGTCTTACTCATCTACTTTCTGGCTGCGGGAGGAAAGATGTTGGGGCTGACAGGTGAATGACTCGACTGTCCTGAACCAGTTACATAACAACAGTGATGGACACCTTTCAGAGATTCACTGGTTGAATGGGCAGAAGGAAGATGATGCTCTGGAGGTATAAATGAGGGAATTTAAACATCTAAATGAACTAAATTAACCTGCTGCAGAGACACTTGAGTAAATATAAAAACACAACGGTGTGACAAAATTGCAGGATGGTTTCAGTAATTAGGAAGCATCTTGTCAGAAACACTGATCCCGCTCTGCCTCGGTTGGAGGTTTCAGATTAGAGAAACCCTGCAATGCTGATTTAAGAACCTCACAAACTTCAAAGAACCGCTAATCTGCGCCTGAACGGGATTATCCTGCGTCTGATTGGCTGCAGGTCGGATCAGCTGGCATGTCAGCAAGGAGGAGAGCCGTCGCCTGGCAACCGCTGACTGAAGCATCACCGGTTGTAGCCCCTATAGCAAGTGGTGTTGCAGTTAATTGTAATCCAATTAGTCAAAAACAGCATTTTATGCGTTTCTCATCACAAATTCAGCTGAATTTTGACTAACTGTAATTCCAGTTTCAGATCTCTACGGTTTAATTCTGACTTCTTGTAACTGTAGTTCAACATATCTTGAATTCCCCTCAATTTACAATTTCTGCATTGTCTTTCTAGATTCTTAAATTAAGTTTTCAACCAGTCAGAATGACGTAGATTCTGCCTTGCCATAATGCAGGTACACGCAGAGGTTTGTCTAAATAATGTTACAGGGGCGCTGCGCCCTCATACTCCCGGCTTGCGCCCTCTTACCGACGCAGACGTGCTCTATGGGGTTCCGGTCAGGGGACATTGCTGGCCATACCATATGAGGAATTCAGACTTCCTGAAGTTGATTTGTGACAATTCTGGCACGATATGGTGGAGGATTGTCATCCATGAACAGAAAGTTGGGGGTGTGCTGGCAGAATTGGGGGATGATGATGGGTTCTATGATGTCTCTGAGGTAGGAACGTGCAGTGACCGAGCCATCTACAAAAACCAAATCTGTCTTGCGCTGGCTGGTGATGCTTGCCCAGACTGTTGCACCTCCTCCACCAAAGCGAACCCTAGGGACCATGTTAACCTCGGCATATCACTCACCTCGCCTTCTCCAGCAACGCTGACGACCATTATTTCTGTGCAAGGTGACTCGACACTCATCAGTGAACAGGACGGTAGACCACTGCTGCATTGTCCAGGTCACATGGTCTTGTGCCCACTGCAAACGTTCACGGCGATGTCTTGGTGTCAGTGGAGTCACCTGCAACGGTCGTCTAGCATTCAAGCCAAAGCGGTGGAGTCGGTTGCGAATGGTTTGTCTGGAAACCCCTCACATCTCGTAAACAGGCCTGCAGCTCTGTGGCCCTTGCATAGCGATGTCTGAGTGCATAGGTCCTGAGGTACTGGTCATCATTGCGGTCGGTCACTCTTGGGGCCCCACTCCTGGGTCTGTCACGAACTGTACCAGTAGTTCTACGTCTTAATGCAAGTCTGCTGATGACACTTTGAGACACACCAAGTTCACGAGCAACATCAGACTGCCTGCCACCGACTGGAAGGCATGCTATGGCCAGGTGGCGCTGCTCGTCCGT